AAGGCTAATCATGTTTTGGGTGTACTATTCCTTTAATTCCACTTTGGGATTAACAAACTACTTTAGAATTTGAGTTTTATTAACAAACGTCTTCAGAATTTGAGTTTTGCATGTTGGGGGATCAACGTGAAGCGATATACTGGGATTAAACTACCTGCCATCATGAGATGCATTCAGTCTAACATCATTGAAAATGTGCTGAAGAGCTTGAAACCAGATGATGCTTCACCTTTTTATAGCCTGAAGCAGCTTTGGTAGAGCCGTCCCTTTACTGTCTCTGACCTCCTGCAGCAAACACACGTCACAGCGGCTAATAATCTGAAACAGAAAGCAAACAGCAGAGGCATTGCTTGGTGGCGGAACTCACTCGCAGTTTCACCTCATGAGGCAGAAAATAAACTCATAATCAAGGTCAGAAAAGTCCCGGCTGGAATTCAGAAAACATCTCCAGGTCTCACCTTTTCTGTAGATGTTCAGCGTGTTTAGAGGATGAATGATGGTGAATGTGAAAACGGTCACCAGGATAACCACTAGCTGTCAGGAATTAATCTGCTGCCATGTTTTATTCTAACCTGTCTGAACGCCGATCCAGACGTCAATCAACCCTCTAAGATTTGTTGGTTTCTCTGTTCTTGTCTGGTTGCCCCTACCTTCATTTCATTTCAAACTAACATGGTTTTCATCACCAGAGCATAGACCTCGTCCGACTTCACCAAACCAGATTCATCTTCCTGCTCAGGACAACATCTGAGTTGAGCGTTTCTGCGTGTTGAGTGGACTAGGCGTCCATGAAAGACCTGGAAAATATTCTTCAGCATCATTGCATTTATTCTGCAAAATACCAAAGCAGTGTGATCAAATCCTCACCTTGGCTAGAATAGTCATAACAGCTTCCTTATTGGCTTTGGAGTTCCCAAAATTATGAAGATTGAAGGCACAGATCCGGAAGTTTTCCCCATGAACATCAGCCACACCCAGGAGGAAGGAGAGCAGGAGGAGCAGCAGGGACGCCATCGCAAAGGGCTGTTCGACAGGAAGTCAGCATGTGTTTGGGTTAAACATCCATCATCTTTTTACAGATCATCTTTACTTTCAGTGTATAATAAAGAAAAGGAAATCAAATAAAAATGTCTGTTCATGTGCAGCTGTTGAAAAGCGGCTTCAGCTTATCCCCACATCAGGCTCATATATCTGGGAGTTTTTTTTAAAGAGATGGATGCAGGTGTTTCCTCCCATCATCACAGGTCTAACACACACTCACCTAAATGCTCCCCCTGCTGGACATGCTATCTCACTACACCTGCGCATGCATCAAGTTCTCAACATTCTCTCTCATGTTTCAAAACAAAAAAACATTTTCTGAGCCAAAAAAACAAACAAACTATTCATAAATTAGACATTGAAATAAAAAATATTAAAAAGAAAACTTTTCAAAGGTAACTTTGCTCTTTTCTCATATTTTGGCTTTTTTAGATCTTGTTTCCTCATTTTATTTTTGCAGATTTTATTATTTCTATTTCATAACTGAGTTTTAAGAATTGCCTTCTTTTCAAATAGCCTTTTAAGATTTCACATCAGCCCAATCCCAAAAAGTTCATTATGGTGTAAGTAGTCGCACACTTGTTTCACAACTACTTTCTACAGATCAGAAAGGAAGATTGGATATAGGTCTATAATTGACCAAGTCATCTGGGTCAAGAGACGGCTTCTTAAAGGTATAGTGGAGGATTTTTGAGAACTTTTGAAAAGACCCGCCCTCTCCACTTTAGAAAAACTTATGCACAAGCACAACCCTGTACCCACTCCCAAGAGGGAATGCCTTTTAAACGCGTACAAGAGCGTGCACGTGCCAATTTCCTCATGCACGCTCTGTTTAGAAATTGCTGTTTACATCGTTCATATAAGCTCACTTTCCTAAAGATGATTTTTCCAGCGGTAAGAGAAAATGGGCACGAGCGCGTACAGCCTTACATAAACATATCACATGAATGCCTGACAGTTAGGAGAACCACTGATTTAGATGATCCACCCTGAAATGAAACATCCTACATTATAGCTTTAATTAAAGGTTTAATTCCAGCAATCTTAAAAGCCTTAGGTACATATCCCTGTAACAGAGATAGATTAATCACATCTAAAATGGAGGAGGAGATCAAAGGGAATACCTCCTTAAATAACCTGGTTGGAACTGGAACTAACATACAAGTTGAAGACAATAGTTTTGCTAACTGAAAGTTCAACTGAATCAAAGCAGTCTAAACCCGGTTTAGATTCCATGACTAACTCAGATGCTGCCCCACCATCCAGAGACAAACCAATCATGGATAGAGGAGTGCTTATGATCTTATTTTTAATAAGATCAATCTTATTTTTAATAAGATCAATCTTATTTATAAAGAATCCCATAAACTCATTGCTGCAGGTGGAATGGACGGTTCAACAGAGCTATGGCTCTGGGTGAGTTTGGCAACTGTATTAAAAACATATCTAGGATTATTTTTGTTCTCCTCTATTAATGAGGAGAAATATGCTGCTCTTGCTTTACAAAGGGTCCTCTTATACAGCAGTAAACTATTTTTCCAGACTAGGAAGGACTCCCGCAGGCCTGTGGAGCGATATTTTCTCTCCAGTTTCCTAGCATTTTGCTTTAAAGTGTGCAACTCTGCGCCTGCTTTTCATTTTTAACGGTTTTCATTTCCAAAGGAGCTGCGTTGTCTAAGGCAGTACGCAGAGAACTAGCAACCCCATCAACAAAATCATCAACCAGTGAAGGGGAATAAGCTATGCTTTTGCACTCTGCAGATACTGGAGAGATTAACCTCCTGAGAAAATGTAGAAGATGTGTCCACCAGGAGACTAAAAATAGAGCTTTAAGTATTGAATAATCAGACATTCCAAGTCAGTGTTTAAAGCAAACATTAACTGTGGTTAAAGTTTAGAAATATGTCAATAACTGAGTTTTCTCAGTGACTCGGTTCTCCTACCAGAACTTCCTCATTTCCTAATGTCAAACATACATTATCAGTCTCAGTTTCTAGTCAGCATGCAGATAAATATCCTGTTTGGCTCCAGCAAAAATCAAGGAATCAAAAACTGGTTCAAACCGGAGCAGAAGAACCAGAAATCAGATTTCCTCCAAACTGAACCTGTTTGCCCAGAACCAGAATCTCAGAAATCCAACTTTTTGTGACACTTCTAAGAATTTTTCAGCTCTGCTGCTGGGAGCTTCCCAGTTTATGTATTTAATGGTATCAGAGTCAGAGGGGCTGAACAGCCTCCATGCTGCTGGTTCAGATTATTATCGGTTAAAAATCATTGTTATATCTGCTGCTTTGTGTCGAGGAATCCTCAGAATCTGAGTCAGTGAGTTTGAGAAGGAAAACTCTCCTGTTAGTGTAGCTCTGCCACAGTTAGATGCTAACCAACTGTAGAAGTTATTGTTCTAATAAACCTGTCAGGACTTGAATGAGCAAACCAGAGCTGCAGTATGTAGAAGCTCAACATGTGGATTTAATTGTTTTCCAGCAGGATGTGTGGATGGCTGTAGCTGTGCAGAAGTTAGAATGTGTCTGTCACACAGAACTAAAGCACACAGAACTAAAGAGGATTTCTTTCCTCTCATTTTTTTGTTCTTCCAGTTTTAATAAGCAACATTTTCACAGATTCATTGATTTGGTTTCAAACCTCAAATCCTCATTAAAATAAAAGTTATTTCAAAGACTCACGGCTTTCAGCAGAGGGACTTTCAGGCTGTTTCTTTCCGTCCTTCTTCTCTCTGTTTGAAACTTAAAACTGGGTGGGCCTCTGTGTTTCCTGTGGGCGGGGCCAAACCTCCTCCTAAAGGACAAACTATATTTATATCTCCTGATTAATCCTGATTATAAGAAACCTTTAAGTTAACTTGATCCTGGATCAGATCAAACCAGCAGGTACTTTTCTCTTTATTTAGTTCAATATTTAGAAACTAAAACATTCCTGCTTGATCAGACCATAAAAACAATAAATATGCAGAAAAGATGGTTAAAAGTTTTCTATATTTCTGCTTCATCATATAAACCTGCTGCTTTCTCATTTAATCATGTGATTTAACTGTCAAAGCTCTCTGAACGGTTACTGCAGCCCGGCAGGAAGAGTGAATCTGGCTGTTAATGAGATTTACACATTTTACGGCAGTTCTAATGCAAGAACAACAAAAAGAGTGTTAAAGTTTAAAGTTGGTTAAAGTTTAAGCAGCTTTTCTGGCTCCTCTGCCACCAGTTTTAATCATGGAGTCCCAGAAGCGAACAGGAAACATTTTAATGAATGAAATGAGCCAAAGAGCTGCAGGTCGCAGAGCTTCGGTCTAACGACAGGAAACGGATCCAGCTTCAGGATCTCTGAAGCTTTAAGTTTCATTCAGCTTCATTTCTGAATCAGAGTAAAACAAATAGAAATACTTCAAACAGAGCAATCAGGTGTGGTTTCAGGGGCAAATATCACAGAAATAATCAGTTTTATTTCTGCAGAACAGGTCAGAACCAGATTCACGGGGACATTGGCCCCCGTTAGCCTCCGTCTAGAAACACCCATGTTTACAGAGAGTAGGGGTCAAAGGTCAGTGCTCAGACACCTGACTCAGTTCCTGGTTCTAGTTTCTAGAATCTAGTTTGGAACAGAAAGATTCAGGCAAAATCTGAAGCAAAGTCAGGAGAAAGAAGCATCACCGGTTCTTTCTTCATGGTCTTAAGCTTTACTTTGTGCTTGAAATTATTTTATTTCCATATTGGTTGATTTGTTTTGCTGTAGCTCATACGGGCTGGACAGACTGACCGTCTGCCTTTACAAATAGTTTTTTAAATCTTATTTTCATTGCAGTGAGTTTAATCAAATTGTGAACTTTCTATACATTAAATGTTTAGATTTTCTCCATAAACAGGCTAAAGTCCAGGAGTCTAAATCACCCAAACTGATGTCATGACAGCTTTTTCCACATGATGGCGCTGTACAGCAAATGGAGCATTGCACAGGGTGTCTTCCTGAGTTTTTCCTCTCCACTGTCACTACAAGCATGCTTAGTGAGGGATTGCTGAAGACTCATTGAGTCTCTGATCTGGTTAATCTGTATCTATAGAGACCATAGATAACATGTTAATTGGAGCTATAGGAATTAACTGAATAGAACTTTTAGTCATATCAATCATCTGATTGCGTCCTTAAAGGCCACGCCCCTTTCCCTGATGTCAGAGGCTGAACTGTTTGATGGGTTTAAAATGGAAGAAGTCAACATTTCCTCCTGTTTCAATCCTCCAGCCAACAGATTAGATGTTTTTATGCAACAAGTAGAAATAAAAGCAAAGCAGGTCTTTTTCTGAACCAAATCTGTTTATTGTCTGTCTGCGGTCAGAGCGTGCAGAGGTTAGTTGGCGTGCAGAGCCTTCCAGCGGGACAGGGGGCCTCTGCTGGGGATGTATTTCACCCCACAGCCATCAGGGATCAGACGCTTCTCCGCCATCATGTCATCGAAGTCACAGGCGTTGAACTTCGTGAAGCCGTACTTCTTGGAAATGTGGATCTGCAGATCAGAGTGATGACATCACTACAGGCTCACAGCAAACATCAGCAGTAAAGAGGAAAATGGCGGGTTTGTCTCAGCGGTCCCTTAAAGCCCTCAGCACCTCCCAGCTGAGGACTTACACAACCACAGAATCACTGTCTGCAGCTTTTGCACACCGGAGCCGCACTGCAGCAGAACCGGTCGGCTTAATAAGCTGCAGAGCAGAACCGGCAGGTTCTGCAACCAGATGACATCCCTTTAGGTGGGACTTTACCTTCTGGCGTCCGGGGAACTTGAACTTGGCTCTGCGCAGAGCCTCCACCACGTGCTCCTTGTTCTGAGCCTTGGTACGCACAGACATGATCACCTGGCCGATGTGGACTCTGGCTACGGTACCCTGGGGTTTACCGAAGGCGCCACGCATCCCCGTCTGGAGCCTGAAGAGATTCAGACGGGAAAAAATTACCAAAAACACTCAAAGAATCCAAACAGCGGCGCCGCTTTGATGGCTAACCTATCAGCTCCGGCGCAGGACAACATCTTGTTGATTCGGATGACGTGGAAGGGATGCAGCCGCATGCGGATGTGGAAGCCATCTTTACCACAGGTTTTCACCATGTACTTGTTAGCACAGATCCGGGCGGCCTCCAGAGCTATGGAGAACAGAGCAGAAGGTCAGAGGAGAGAACAGAGCAGAAGGTCAGAGGAGAGAACAGAGCAGAAGGTCAGAGGAGAGAACAGAGCAGAAGGTCAGAGGAGAGAACAGAGCAGAAGGTCAGAGGAGAGAACAGAGCAGA